CGAATGTCCTCTTTAACCATGCGGATGAAACCCATAAAAAGAAAGGCATTGCAGAGACCCTCGAGCTGTGCAACGTCGATCCACCGATCTCGGATTTGGACTCTCTTGACATACTTCACCGTACGCTGCGGAAGATGGATGACCATACCGAGCTTCGGAGTGCCATATGGGAACGGGCAGCTAAGGCAAAGCCACAAGATCATGCTCTTCAGATGAGATGGTTCAAGTTCGGATATGAGGCCTGTGACTGGAAGTCAGCCCAGAAAGTGAGTTAGGAAGAAGCTGATGCTACACCGGCATCGTAACAAGGCCGCCTAAATTGCTAACGAGTGCCTTTGTTCTTACCACAGGCTGCCATGAGTCTTCAAAAGAACTTTCCTCGGGAGCGAAAGTACTATTTCTGGGCCATTTTCCTCTGTTATCTCGTTTCAGATGACGAGGCTAGCTCGGACGGGGACCGCAAGTTGTTTGGGACACTTGCCTATCGCTTTGCCCAGAAGGCAATATCTGAGGTCCCATCTGACCCGGTATGTGATTACTCTTTCAGAGACTACATGCTCACTGGATATATGATTTGAACATAAATGACTGACTGGGCATTATTTAAATGGCTTACTACAGACCGAATTGCTAAGCCCTCCGAGAGCGATACAAACCGCCGAAGAGCTTCTCTTGGTCCTTCGAATTCTCGAATCGCAAGACCGTTGGACAGAGATTGTGCAGGTTCTTGATAGCGAGAATGCTGGTCTCAGCTCTCGGATTGTTAATAACGACAGGACTTTCATGTTAGCCAAAGTCACTAGCTTGGGGGTTGCCGGACTCTGGGAAGAAGGGCACTCATACGCCAAAAGCCTGCTTGCCGTGTCTGAAGAAGAAGCAGAGCGCAACACTTTGCACGAGCGCGATGATTGGAAATACTGGAACTTGCTCATCGTAGCCGTGCGCCACCTTGAAAAAACTCCGGGGTATGTGTTCCAATATTTTACTTCTACACTATTGAACCTTCAGCTAACAAATGCTGTCTGCTTCGTAGGCTACTTTCCGACACACAGCAGCACATTGAGAAGTTCATCGAATTTTTGCCAAAGTCCCGCAATGCGCATATCGCTCTCATGGACATAGTATTAACCGGGTTTAAACGGGGCGAGCGGACAGAGGATGATCTGGTCGTTGCGTGCCAAAGATACTTTGACCACCATAAGCACAAACTCTATGCTTTCAAAGACTTGCGAGGGGTCTTGGAGACCCGTGATGATAGGTTGCTTCACCGAGTAGCTCAACATTGCATGGACAGTGTCGAGGGCAAACCCGTAAGTGCAAATTCCGCTAAATTCAGTCAATGCGAGCTGACCAACTTCCCAGGACGATGCCATTCCATTGATCAATGCGTACAAGTTGCACTACTGCGACCGAATTTCAGGAAACAACAACGCATCGAAATCCAGTATTGAGACTCTTGTCCGCAATTGCCTCTACTTTTACGATGCATTCACCCTTTTAGCAAAGACTCAGGACCCAAAGAAGGAAAGCCAACCAGATACTGCTTCCACGATGGAAAGTCGGCCCACAGACGACTTCTGCATCATTGCCGCAATGGCCCTTCTTCAGCCTACCCCAGTTGGCCAGAAATACGAGAAAATCAGCAACACCGCCCTGATTCGTGCCGCCGGGATTCTGGAACGCCTTCTAATCGATTCACCTCATAACTACGAGGCGATTCTTATGTTGATTCGCATTTATCTTCTTCTCGGTGCTGGTTCCATTGCTTTGAGGTGGTTTGGCAAGCTCTCTGTCAAACAAATGCAGTATGAAAGTGTTGCTCATAACCTATTCACCCGCTTTGCCACCATCCACCCTCATTCCGCGCCTCCAATTGAGGGCGCAGAATACAAGGACTTTGACGCGCAAGTTACATTTATCGCTGCTCTCGACTTTTATCGTCATGCCAACTTCACTATCAAGACTTCTTTGATGAAAGGACTCGATGATGGGACTTATGTCAATCTAGATGACACAATTGAGCTTCACAAGCGTATCAGGGACAGCATCTGCCGGAGAATGTGGGCCCTGGAGTTACGGCGGATGCAAAGAATCCGCAAAGGAAACCACTTGGCCCTCCACGAGGACATCGGTCAGCAATCTCCATTCCTCATGTACTCCTGACATACTTGAATACTAACCACCCTGTAGCCCAGGATACATCACCAGCTCAAGACCAGCGGAAGTATGATGGTTTTATGAACCTGGAACGTTGTGACCAATCTTCATTTGAGCACCGATTGCGCGCAGGCCCGATTCCTGGGGTAAGTTTGTTTGCTTGAGCGACATAGCGGCACCGACTAATGCCAATATAGGAAGACTGGCTGGCATCCGCCCGGCTGACTGATCGGCTTTTCAGTGTTCTTGAGAGCATCGGCAGTCAGAAGCCAGTCGTCTTGAAGCTAGAGCTGCCCCAAATCGACAAATTGTCTCTCTCCCAGACTGATGACGATCATACTGACGCCGAGAGGGATGCAACCAAGATTCACGTAGAATTGCTGAAAGTGGCTATGTTTATGACTGGATCAAAGGCCCATACTTCCACCGAAATTGAGACTGCTCTTGGTGAGGTAGAGGATTGGTTGAAGGATAAGAGAGAGGATCTAGCCCTGGAAGACACTAAGAAGTCTTCTCTTATCATGAGAACAAGCATTGAGTTCACCCCAGGCACGCCAGGTGCACCGACATGGGAATATTTCCATACCATCTGGACTCTCGTGGAGACCCTCAAGGCTCTATGGAATATTTTCGACCTGAATTCCCGAAAGGCCTTGAAGACAGCCAAACTCCCTACCGAACAAATGGAGAGACTGAATACTCTTGTTCGCGAAGTTTTCGAGCATGTCCGTTCGAACACTCGAAGTTTGAAACGGAGCCTTGCCGAATCAGCCACTCTTAGTACACTCATCGACATGGTAAAGCGTGGCGATGCAACTGATGAATACGAGAAGCCGCTCCAAGACGTCTTAGAAAAGGCGATGGATGAATCTGCGCTCGAGTTGTTCTGCGGAGAGTTGAGGGAGAGCTGGGAGGAGGCACTTGATGGAGTGCTGGCTACCAGGCTTTAATTGGTGGATGTCGGGAAATGCAAGAATGAATCGTGTGTCCATGAAAATACATAGTTAGAGTACATGTAACCAAAACCATGACAGAGTTGATGCAGTCCAGGTAGTAAGAGGTCCATCTATAAAAACAGGGCAAGCCATCACGTGCATACGCCAAGACATACCGAATTAGATGCCTGAGGTGTCAGGAGTTTACGCTAGTCCTGATTAATCCAGCCCTAGCCCTAGTCACTCGCCTACCGCACCAACGCCAAGGCTCCATTTTGCGGTTCCAGGCAAAAGACCAGGCGATTTTCACACGGCTTCCTTACCTCCTCTTCGACAACCTCCGCCAACCCCTTCAGTCAACAACCGTCGAGATGGCCGAACGCTCCGGAATTGTGGTCGGACTCAACGCGGGCCGGGTACGTTCTTGCTGTCTCTTTGCACCACTTTTTTCGGTCGTTTTGAAGGTCTCCAAAGCTCTCTTCTTTTCGTTCCGTCTGTTGGTCCTGTCAAGACCAGTCGGGTCAAGGTTTATCGCGGAAACACTGGGAATCATTACGGCAAGGAGGATTGAGATTAAATCGCCCGTTGGAAAATATCGGAAACTCGCTGGGGAATATTCCGATGTCGCCGGAATACTTTTTTTTGGATTCGACTTTGGCACCGAAGCCAGTACACGCCGAAGCCAGTACACGCCTTGCACGCAAGCCTGATCCGACTACGCTATAAACTACCTCGACAGACAGACGGAAAGCGAATTGAAGAGAATACTGGGACCTGCGGCCGCTACATGAGACTTGGCGAAACAGACATACTGACTGGGTTTATGATATAGAAAACCACCGCCCTCAACACCCCCAAGACCCGCATCTCGCGCACCAAGGGCAAGTCTTCCCGTCGCACCGCTTTCGTCCGCGAAATCGCCCAGGAGGTCGTTGGTCTCGCTCCCTACGAGCGCCGCATCATTGAGTTGCTGCGCAACGCCCAGGACAAGCGTGCCCGTAAGCTCGCTAAGAAGCGCGTACGTCTACTCTCAACCCTTTTTCCGCTTTCGTCTGGTTGGCTCTGTTACATGGATTGCGTTGAGTTTGGGTCTGTTTGGTTGAGGTCCTGGTGTATCAGAATCGTGCTGTATGGGCCATGCATGTCAATCCTGCAGAGGAAGATTTATTTCAATCTCTGCTTGGACAAGTCGGTGCAATTACTATTCTGTTCGCCAGTGACCGAGATCTATGGCCAAAATCAAATGATTTTCTCTGGGATCAGAGCCCGCCCGGTTAATGCGTTGAGTGAACACTTTTGCTAACTTCATGTCCAGCTCGGTACCTTCGGCCGTGGAAAGGCCAAGGTTGAGTCCATGCAGAAGGTTATTGCTGAGTCTCGCCGCACCGCTGCGCACTAAATTTTCCAACCCGTTCCTGTTTTTCTTTCGTTTTAACGACTCGACGCAAAAAAAAGCGTGATTCTCGGATCGGAAAGGGGGTTTCGTGGCCATTGGGCGTGCATGAAGGGGAAGGCAAATATGGGATTCCTTCTCTGTCGTATGGAGTGAAACCATAATGAAAACAATTATTCAACCATTTCACGTGTGATATTTGCAATTGAGCCACTTTCTAAATGGAGGTTACACCGTAGATGGAAAAGCGTATGATTGCCCGAGTATAGCTGAGCGACGTTTACCTTCATATGTGTGCAGAGTCGACAACGTCCCACTCGTGCATTTGGTGCCAAGTCTAGATTGTTACATTGTCATTGAGGTTATCTATGTAAATGATGTTCGAAGGGCATATGATTCAAGTCTATCCGCACATCGTAAGATCGTCTTCAAATTGCGCCGCCACTTAGTTGTCATGATCATCTAGAGCAGCACATGTCGCTCACCTGAACCAAATACATTCCACTATCTCAATTTCATTTCTTACCCGGTAGCTTCAGCCACTTAGGCATACCACCACTCTTCCGTGCCCCGCTGGGCTTATCGCCGCCCTGAGCGCTACTCGGACCAGTCTGTGAGGGACCAGGCACTTCTTCCTTGAGCTCCGGCGGTTGCTCCACCTTGAGCTGTTGAGCCTGGCTCCGAAGCTCTGGGCGTAGTATCTCCGCTCGGCGTTCATGAACAAACGAGGCAGCGTTATCAGCCCAAGAGAAGTTCACGAGCACACGGCCAGCCAGCCCTAGGTCTTTAATCAGATGCTTCTTCTCTGATGGAGGTATGGCGTTTGTATGCTTGGATCGGGATACACCGTGAACGGTGAGAATGAAGTTCTCACCGGCGAACGGTGGCGAAAGGCACGCTCGCGCGAATTCATACAACGACAGTCCTGTATCCGAGGTCCCAAACTTGGCGACCACTTGACTCTGATCTGGGAAACGGATCTTCACATCGACCACATGAATTGCTGCTCGCCTTGCCGCTTCTGCCTCTTCCTTAGCGGCGATCTCAGCGTCCGTCGGCAGGCGCTTTGGGCGAGAGGACTCATTAAGTAACCGCTGGTGCATTTTTGCGTGCTCGATAGTGGGTATGTAATCACTCTCATTGTAGTCCAATTTTGCCGACGAAGGTGTATCTTCTGAGGGAGGGGAAAAGACAGTAATCGTTCGGCCAGAGTCGAATGTGGAAGTTGCCGGGTCGGAGATGGATTGGGGAGGGGCAACGTCCGACGCGGCGGTTACGCTGGAGGACTGAGGCTGCAATGGGCCGGAGAGCTCTTGAACAGGCTCCTTGCTTGTGCTGTAAATGGGAGCTGCTACCGGCGCTGCGGCGGGCGCTGTGTTCTTATCCTGTGCTGAAGGAGCCTCATCCTCCGGGGACTTGAAGAACTCGCCAATCTTGACCATGGCTTCTTCGATAGGCTCCTCTGTCCGTCGGAAACTGAGTCGAATAAGAACATTGCCACTGTTGAAACCTAGCTGGGCTAGGGTTTTTTGTAGATCTGTGAAACTCGATACTTCACGTTCCAAAATCTGAAGGACGGGGATCTCATAGTACAGTCTCCCGGGGACATCCCCACCATGGGTAGAGGGCACTGCCCGTGAAGTGAGATTCCGTGGCGGGCCAGTCCCTGCAACTCCCGCCTCGAACTTGCGTAGTACCATCCAGAGTGTAGTCGTACTAGGGAACTTATCAAGTATGCGGCCATTCGGGGCACCACGAGCCTCCGATTCAGGCAGTTGCAGGCCAACGGTTACGACTGACGGAGAGCGAGAGATTTGAACAAGTTCAAGCTTTGCGCCAGAGCTGAGACCAGACAGACGGTAGGAAAGAGACAGATCTAACTGCTTGCGATTGTGTCTGGTGCATAGAAAAGACCGGGTCAGTGTTGTCATCGGAGGAAAAGGAACATCGACTCACTTTAATGAGTATTGGCTAGCATTATATCCAAGCTTTGAACATGCTTCCTGTAGGATATCTGTCAAGTGTTTGGCGGGAGTAGTCTTGATTGTTGCCCGTCTGGCTGTCGCGTCGATCACCACAACGTGGGCACTCATTGTGCATGGAGAATATAGCTCTAACAATAAATAGAGGAAGTTCAGTATCTCAACAAAGAGATCTAAAATGGAAAAATCAAAGTAAAGAAGTGCGAAACTCCAATGCGGGGAGAAAGAGGGCGCAGAAAGTAGTCGAAGGTCGCATACGAAACAGGCAGCGGTGCGGGCGTCATCTGAGCTCTCGCGTACCTCAGAGCTTCCCCGTCATCAACTCACCTCCATCACCTCCCCCCAACCCGGCCCCTTCTCAACCACATTTTCTCTTCTTTTTTTCTTGTGCTTTAGCTCCGGAATCTCTCTGTTATATTGAATTGTATTGAAACACTGCAATAATGGTAAGAAAAATGCGCCCTCTGTCCCTATCGTCCACGAATCTCTGGACCTGAAAGCTGACCGACTTCTCCCATCACAGTCCAACCCCTTCGACATCAGTATGCCGGAACTTTGTCCCTCATGAATAACCAACCGAAATACTAATCGTTCTACAGATGGCGGTGCCTGTGTCGCCATGGTGGGCAAGGACTGCGTCGCCATCGCCTGTGACCTTCGCCTGGGAATGCAGTCCCTGACCATCTCCAACAACTTCCCCAAGATCTTCAACTACGCTCCATCCACCTACCTCGGCCTAACTGGCCTCGCCACCGATGTCAACACTGTCTCCGATCTCTTCCGTTACAAGGTCAACATGTACAGGCTGCGCGAGGAGCGCGACATCGCCCCGCAGACCTTCGCCAACCTAGTGAGCTCATCGCTGTATGAGAAGCGCTTCGGTCCTTACTTTGTCAGCCCCGTGCTGGCTGGTATCAACCCAACAACGGGGAAGCCGTTCATCTGCGGCTTTGATAGCATTGGCTGTATCGATTTCGCCAAGGACTTCATTGTCAGTGGAACAGCAAGCGACCAGCTCTTCGGTACTTGCGAGGGTCTGTGGGAGCCTAATCTGGTATGTATTATTGGTGTTATCATCCCTCCCACTGGATGCGTCGTCTAACACACATTGTCATTACAGGCCCCCGAGGACCTCTTCGAGACAATCTCACAAGCGCTGCTTAGCGCCGTGGACCGGGATGCCCTCTCCGGTTGGGGTGCCCAGGTTTACATTATAGAGAAGGACAAGGTTACCCAGCGGTTATTGAAGGGACGACAGGATTAGATAAGGGGAAGTGGTTGTTTTGGGCTTTCCGTTGGTTTGAGGGCAAATCCCGGCGTCTACGGTCTTCACTGGATGATATGTGCCGTGTACGGTGGATCAATGACGGGATAGCACAACAACGCGAGAGCGGTTGATACCTGAGCCGAAGGGCAATTTCGTTCTTTGACTCCATGTTTCTCTTACTCCTATCATGATAATAAAAGGCCCCCGTTGTCACGTCACGGCAGTGTTCCGATTTGCATCATCAATCCAACGCATTAACCAGGGAAACGGACAAAGTCCAGTTTTCGAGAATCCGTAACCATCCCAATCTGTTCGACAACTTTGACTGACCTTTGTCTTTGTTCAGGCCTCGTAACTTACTAGTCGCCCACGTCAAGCAGGCCTTTAGGGATGTGCTAGATGCCTGCCTCCCATATTCTGGATTAGTCTGGCCAAGAGTAGTGCTCTTATACGCTGTTTTTCTACCCAAGCGTCCAACTTCTCAAGAGGCCATTAACCCGACGCAAGTCTGCTTCGATGTTCCGAGGTTGCTCGGATATCGAAATAAACACAATCCACTGAACCAAAAACAAGGAGGTCGGACTAAAGAGGCAAACATCCATATGGGCAAGAGACAATATCGAACATAAAATCGCAAAAACAAGAACATGTTGCTATACATCCTGTGCGGCCACACTCATGTTATCCCCTCAACGCCTCGATCAAGCGTCAGTCCAGCGAGACCTTCAATAGCCATCTCTGTCAGCTACCGCCCCGTAGGCTGGCCCATTATTGCCTAAGAACCTTTTGATATCAGACGCCAGCGACTCAGGCACTTCCCAGGCCGCAAAATGGCCACCATGGTCATACTCCGTTTCCTGCACAACATTCCCAACGGCCCGATACCACGCCATAGGCCACATTACAATCTCCTCTCGGAACTGTGCCACTGCAAAGCGGACATTCTGCGCTGCCCGAGCCCCGAGAACTTGTTCAGTCGACATGTAATTCAGACCTGTCTTTCCCGGGAGATCCTCCTGAGCTCCACTCTCCGGCACACCCGCGCTTCCAATACTCTTCGGCGCCGAGGCCTCGTAGTAGATCCTCGTTGATGCCATTGGCCCAGCTGTGGAGAAGTAGTACACGCTCACCCAGGTCAAGATCTCCTCATCCGTCCAGGGATACTTGTCGGACCACGTGTGCATTTTGTCATAAATCCAAGCTAGCAATCCAACGGGACTATCGTGAAGCCCGTAGCCTAGAGTCTGTGGTCGGGTTTCTTGCTGTTTCAAGTATCCGTTGCCGCGAGTGATATACCCCAATGTTCGGGCGATATAGCCACGGTCTTTCGCTGAGAAGGGCACAGATATCAATGACTTGAGGAATTGGTAGGGACTTCGCCATGGGTAGGGCGGTATGACGGGCGTGAAGTTCAGGTGGATGGCTTGGGTGTGTTGAGGGTAGTACTGAGACATGGTACGGGCGATCATACTGCCCCAGTCGCCTCCTTGAAGCACTGCTCCAGAGTTAGTTGGTCTCTTTTCATGGGTGCAGATAGTGCTTGCCGTATTCCTCGTAGCCTAGTGCGATCATCACGTTGTGTAGAGCTTCGGCATACTGTGCCAGCCCGAATCCTCTCTAATTTGGTTGTTAGGATAGATTTAGTCAGGGCTGATACAGTACTCAACATACCTTCTTGACGCCATCCGAGAATCCAAAATTGGGCAATGAAGGTGCGACAACGTCGAATACTGGGCCATCGCCGTTGTTCTTAGTGAGTAGCGGGATAAGCCTGGTGGCTTCAAGGAAGCTGCCAGGCCCTGGTATAAGAACAATAAATTAGCAAGCGCGATGAAGACAGCCATGAACTTTCCAGGGCTAGATACAGCCGTGAATAAAAAGCAATGGAATTGCTTTTGAATTTCCGCTCCGATGATGCACGGCATGTATATTCAGTTCTCCGAAGCCCTCCACTCCTACTCGAATATAGACTTGCTTGAGTCGCTCATTCAGCTTCTGCTCTTGCGCACGCCAGTCAAATTCCTCGCGCCACACGGCGATAAGTCTCTTGATCTCATGGAGAGGGACCCCCATATCCCACCCGGAAGCCTCAAGCTCGTCGGGGAAGGTAGTGTACTCCAGCTTGTGGCGGAGCTGGCGGAGTTTCTCGTCCGGAACGGCGATGCTGTATGGGGTGACTGAGGTCATCGTTGTGGATCATGTCAAGATCGGAGTTTGGTGAGAATGGACGGAAAGGCAGAGTTGGTTGCATGTATAACACACTTCTACGGCAGCGTCGTATACGCGCTTATCCACATGCAGGATAGTGTCCCAGTTATGCTCATAGTCGCGCTCGGGCCTTCTGTGAAGTGGATATTACCTCGGTTTCACAGCACTGACATCGTACAATGTCCAATGATAGAGGTATCAGGTTAGTTGACTTGGACCGAATGCGCATATTGACAAAAAGCAGATGCACCATCAGTGTCAAAGACATGACCTTCTAATTAGTACGTCTAGTATACATATATCCATGAATATTCCCCAGGGAGCGAGCTAAACTGGACAGTCAATTTTAGCATTCATTACATCCATGGAGCTGAGTGGCTGACAACATGATATTGCCTAAATAGGAACCGGCCATGATTCAGCGAAACAACCTTAGAAGGAAAAGTGCGGTGCTTTGCTTTGCCAAGACGACGTTGCCCATGCCAGAACACGCTATGTCTGGAGTTCTCAATTATATTCTTGTGTTCTACCTCGAGCCTTTTTATACCAATATGCCTTCAGAGACAGAACACCCAAAGGCTTCTATGTGGGATCTGCCTCCAGAACTAGTGGACCAGATAATTGACCTGCTCCCTATAGAGTCTCAGGTTTACCTTGCACTCAGCTGCAGGTCTTTATACAGACGCTATCAACACGTTTTGGCACAAGACGAATTTGCCTTCCCTAGATATGAATCCGGCCTAGGTTGGCTTCCATATGGGCTTCTAGATGAAAATTCGAATCGCGAATACAATTTCCGCCGTCAACTTCTTTGTCGTCTTCAAGGACCTAGAAGACTCTACTGTTCCTCATGCAGCAAGTTACACCTGACCAACGAGTTTGGTCTGCTGTCGAATATAGTACCCCGGATTTGTGAACGTCTGTCCCGCAGTCCGTTGAATATCAGAGCAATGACTCGAACGCTGGAAGGATCTCAACGTGAATGGCTCGAATGGCGCCGTTGCTCAGTCACAATCCAACCCGAAGTGGTTGCTGAGCAGAAGCTCTACATTTCGCCAGATGAGCAGACATTCTTGCGGGTCCGAAGCCAATGGGAAATTACTTACAAAGAGGAAACAAATGATTGCCCAAAGATTGAGCGCTTTTTTGGCTGTCCCCATCGATGTATGCTCCCAGAATTTCCAACATCTCGTTCGCGGAAACGATTTAACAAATGCTATGAGTGCAACCTCTGTATAAAGACCCACTGGAATGAGGTTGACAGAAGCGTGTTTCAAGTTGAGATAACACGGACAGTCGATACTCGTGAGATTTTGAGAAGTAGATAAGAATTCGGTGTGTTGCTTTGAGTGGCTATGTGTATATGTGATATGTGTATATAGAATAATGTTAATCATTCAGAGATTGGAAACAACAAGAGATGAGCCATTGAAAGTACTTACGACGTACAACAACATGTACATAGGAGTAGATCTGTTCTCTGTTCTATAAATGATCAGGGAGTATTAGGTACCTCTTTCTGCATATATAATGCCCGGGTAAACAGGTACCAGGTACCTGATGGCCCTGTTCTGGTCTAGATCCCGCTGATCCTGTAGCGCCGACCTCCGTGCACCTTCGCAGGATTCGAGAAAAACCACAACACACAAAGAGGAGAACCATCATTAAAGGGAACCACGGGCTCCAGAGAAACCTGAAACATTTCCAGTAGAAATATTATTAGATCTACTTTAGAGTCGATGAGGTCTTGACAACTCTTGTTTCAGGCCGTGTCTAGACCGCCCGGCCCCCATCGAACGGAAAATCCCCTCTCCCCTCCTTCTGGGAATCCTTCTGGGCCCTTTCTCCCCAATATTTCATATTCTGGTGGATGTACATCGAATTCATCTCGATCCATCCACCGTACCTATTTATACAATTGAATGCTACGGTCTGTTACCCTCGGATAACAACTACGAGCCCGAAAACCGAATCCTCGAACCGACCTCATCTTCACTTGCCACATGGACTATGCCCGACACGCCCGAGCCGGATGTCTCTCATGCTGTCCAACCTTGTCCCACCATGCCATTCCCGTCTTGCAAGTCCGAGTGCATCACCGGTGACGGACTAAACGCCGTTCATGATGACGGAGATGTGCAACGTGACTTGGGAACATGGAATGATGGTGCTCAGACCACTGCCATTGAACGTTTGGTCACCCTCAAACAGGGGTTGCGGGCGTCCGATACCGAGCTGTTCTGGAAACGGCTTATGGAGGACATGACATCTATAACCAAGGCCCAGTATGGGTTCGTTGCTCGGAGGGTGCACGGGAGTGAGCCTATGCCAGAATTAGGCGGGCGGCGCCCGTCGCTTTTTGGTGCGGCTTTCTACTACAACGATGGTTACCAGAACGTTGGTTTGCAGCGGAACAGGTATTTCGCGGGCGGGAACCCCTTACTGCATATGGACCACGAACGGCCTTGTCTGATCCCCGAGAATCTCAGCTCACTTGTATCGTTCGGCGATGATCAATTACCGTTCGCTGCCGATGGTTATTTGGCGATTCCCCTCTTTTCGGCTGGAAAGTGCCTGGCGCACCTCGGGTTGATGTGGTCGAAAGATGGTCTTCGGCATAGAAACCTATCCTGGTCTTTCCTGGAAATGATTCTCCACTCGCTCGAAGACCTCATTGTACAACGACTAGACCCAGGGGAACAACTTCTAGGTGAAGTGTTAGAATCTCCAACGACAAATATTTCCGATTTCCAAGACCACCAGACTGCCGCCTTCCATGAAGCCGCTGATTTCAACTCCCACCCTCTCAAACCCTACGCCCGAAGCCTATCCCATGAGCTGAGGACCCCGATGCAGGGTGTGGTGGGAATGCTTGATGTCATGCATGCTACAGTGCGCGAGGCGATGGAGAGTAAAACTCCTGTCAAATCGGGCGGGATTTTTCAATCTCTAAAAGAGGGAATTGAGATGGTTCAAGATAGCGCGAGACGTGCTGTTGAAGCCGCTGACAATGTCGTTCACGCATACGAGCTCAATATGCAAATCCCCAAAACACCACTCCGGGAGGAGCCCGATATACTAGGTGGTCTCACAGTCCCAACTACTATGCCCGAAACACGCCCGAGCATCTTTATCGAAGGAACGAATATCGCTGTAAATCCGTATAAACGGCGGCGGAGCCTACCACCAGATATGAATACCCGACCAGTACGAAAGCAAAGACTCCGTGCGGCTTCGTCGCGGCAAGAGCTTTCGCCCCGCAGCGAAGAAGTCAAGAATGCTGTCCACGAAAGCGACCAGATCGTACATGCTATCCCAGTCCGGCAGTTCGAGGCTGTAATGGCTAATATGGTCGATCCACGCCCCTCTCTCGCAGTTCGACGATCCGCACCTCACTTACTTCTTGAGGGCATCAATGTGAATCTAAGAGGCTCTGCTTTGCGTTTTACCAAATTGCGAGATCTTCTTCGCTTGGTAATCAATGAGTCTCTTCACGTTGGTGGCCGACCGGATTCTGCTGTTAGCAATGCAACCGAGTTTGGTGAAAGGATTGAGATTCGGTCGCGGTCCTCAAATGGTGAATTGTTCACTCAGGTTGTGGACTGGTCTGTAGACCCTTCATTACCGGAGACCCTTCTTGCCGATGACCGTGATCTGGCCAAACTAATCTCGTGCGTCTTTCTCAACGCAATTAAATTTACCAACAACGGGACCATCACTGTTTTCGCAACTATTGACTCTAAGAGGAATGATGTCCTTATTCTTGTCCGCGATACCGGCCCGGGAATCCCCGCTGCATTCCTACCAAACCTTTTCAAGCCATTTGCTCGTGAGGATGCATCGACCACAAGAAGTAAAGACGGCTTGGGTCTCGGTCTCCTCGTGGCCAAGGGCCTTTCACGCAAAATGGGCGGTGACTTGACATGTGTGCGTTCGTCGACTTCCGGTCCTACGCGTGGTACAGAGTTTCGAATTCGAATCCCTGTAAACCAACGTGAAGCTGAACTCCGCCCTGCGACTCCCAGTGAGAGCGCTTCGACGCCATCTACCTCTACCACCGACCAAACACGACAGGGCAGTGTCAGTAGCCTTCTGTCTGATCCTTCCTCCTTTAATTCCCCATTCATCCTCCCACAAAACTGTCAGCTGCAACAGCCGACACCGTGTCCCACCGACGAAAACATGTCTCAAAGCCCAACACCTTTGCGACCCTCATCACAAACCCGTTTCCATCGAACACATATCTCCGGTGATGCATATGACAAGAAGCTTGGAGAGAAATATCCGCTGCGCTTTCTCGTTGCCGAAGACAATAGAATCAACCGGCGCGTATTGGTGAACATGCTACGCAAGCTTGGCTATCGCGATGTACTTGAAGCGGCTGACGGCAAAGAAGCCGTCCAGATCGTTGAAGGCATTCTCTCAGCATCGAAGCCCTCCACTGTCCTTGACATTGGTCTCGATCCAGCACACGCGATGCAAGGCGTCATCAACGAGCCACCTCTGGCTGTAAGAATAAAACCGATCGATGTCGTCTTGATGGATCTTTGGATGCCTGAAATGGACGGATATGAAGCCACCTCACGGATTCTCCAGATGGTCGACAACCATCGAGATCAACATGCTGCTTTTGAGCAACCAAACCCCAACAGCCCTGATTCCATGGAAATGGATCCAATCCCCAACTCTTCTTATACGCCACCACCTCCCACAGTACTTGCTGTGAGTGCCGATGTCAGCGATGAGGCATTGAATCGCGCCTCCAGGGTGGGAATCAAAGGCTATATGACGAAGCCATACAAACTCTCTGACCTCGAACGGCTGATTCTCGAATTCCGCGGTGGTACTGCCAACCCCGTTGTCTAATTTTTCTAGTTTAACTACTGGACCCATCATCTGAACATGATGTTGCTTTCTTCTTGGATTTCCACATCAAGACCATTATATACCCACTGGATGCAATATTTCCTTCTTCATGTACAATTCCCCCCAATTGCTTTTACCTTTGGCCCAGGGGCCGGTTAGGGCATGCATTGGCTCGGCGGCCTATTCATTTTCAACTGCCATATACCATCATCGTCATTTTTACCCCCTTTTATGTTTATTATCCCCATTTTGGATACAATGATTGATGATACGTCACAAGCGATCGCTGCACATTACATATAGTCATTTAATGAGCATGTAGTAAAGACATACTGAGACTTGGCTCCTCGCCGTGACTTTCCACTCTAGGCAGCCTGTAACTGAACCTATACGCCAGCACTCAAATCCAGTAAACTTGATCATAACATGTTACTATCAAATAGTTTGCACATTTTACCCAGAGTACGGTCTATTCCATTTGTCCCGATCGTCGGCTCTCGATTTGAAACACGGTCTCTGTCATCACCATGGAAACGGCAACAAGACTGAAAGCTCCTGGATCCCTTAAGGCCGGAGCCCGGCTTGGGGTGTCCAAACCTTGACTTGGTTCCAGGCAATTACAACATTGAGCGAACGTATTTTATATTGAACCATATCTGCCAGCACCACTGGAACTGACCTACATATGTACCTGTATCCAACGAGTATTTAAACTGTAATCTGAGTTGGTGGATAGTGTGAATAATAGCTCATATAGGAGGAGTACTGGACTTCACAGAAGAAGGAATACAAGATTCACAGGGTCAAAGGAGATAGATATCCATGGCCTTGGTGTAGAGGCAACCACAGAGCCACGAAATATACCGACCCTCTATGTGTTGATTGACAGCGTATTAGGGCAACCTAGAAATGGTAAGACTAACCGTATATTAATTACATCGCAGATACTGTATATTCCGAGGCTAATTCTTTTTATCCTACAGTAAGTATATCCTACGGTAAGTGGGAGATATCTACAGAAAAACGCATCTAAAAAGACCAGAAAAAGAGATGACAATATATAAGCGGACTTTCTCACTATGGTCATCGTCCCATATTGACCTAGGCTCTATCGCAAAGAGTGAAATCGACCAATCCTGCGTCAGGAACAATCTCCTGTGGGAGGCAGAAGTCGACGTTTTCTCCACTGAGATGCATGAAGACACGAGAGTACTCAGTCTATTTAGAAGCAAAATCAGCAATTCCCCTTTACACATAGTCCTTAGGGGCCATCCGGGAGAACAAACCTCAACGACGTCCACGAACTCATCATAGACGCTATCCGCCTTCATCTTCTGACGGACAAAATCGTTCACCCCTCCCAAAACAGCAATTACCGTGGTGACCTTGCTGTCCCAAGTGACAAGTGCAGAAACTCCTGTTCCATCAACACGAGTGGATTCGGTGCTGCCATAGATATCTGCACAGTTATCTCAATTAGCATTATACCAAATGGACTACCTTAATATCTGGAAATTGTCACTGACTCTGCATTTTCTTGGCAACAACCATGTTCCTCCACCAGGCGAGTCCGACAGACTTGTCTACCAAGATTGTCGGGAACACACTATACGGGGTAATGACGTCTAGTTCCTGGACAGTCTGGTTCGAAATGGAGGGGATACCGGCGTTTGAGATATATCCGGTTACATCGCCGGTGGAGGGATCGGTGATATTGTTAATTGAGGCGAACATGCCGGGCAATTTCGTGGCGACTGAATTGCAGGTCCGAACTCGCTCGGCGTTCACAAATACGCGACTAAATGGGAAAACTGTTAGCACTTGACAACATATTTCTGCTTTCTGATTGAAGTCTCACCGGACAATGTCGATGTCATAGTAGGGCATCTGCATTACTTTCCAGGTTTCGTGACTGGAGAACCAAAACCCTGTCTCGGAAGTTAGCCACTGCCTTCTCATCTTTCCCTCGGCAGCCACAAACCCTTTTGCACAGTGATGGGTCCGAAACCGCCCATTTCGTAGTCCACGCTAACTAACTGGGGTCTTTTAACTTCCCACAGCGCCTGCTTATCGGCTGTCGACAGACCGCCGAAGAAGTGTAGCCAAAAAGTAAAAATCTCGCCTTCAAAAGGGTCATCGAGTAGGTCTTTACCCTCACATAGGTATGACTGATCCGAGTGGTTGACGGGAAGGGACTGATCTGTAATGCCAACGACCGCACACACCCGACCATTGCCTTTGTAAAAGATCTGATCGAGACATAACGTTAGCTGACTGGTCAGGATTGAATAGAAGATCGTGACAGATGTACCTTAGCAGCAGTAGTCTTAGTGTAGTCTACCCAAGCCTGCCATTTCTGTGCGAGTTTCCGATAGTCTTTATTACCCGTGTTCTCAAGGGCCTGAATGAAACCATATACAGCCCATACAAGTTCACTAGGTAGTCATTGTTAGCACAGAAATCAGAACGCGGACCACGAATGGGCATACCCGTTATCAAGAGCAGGAACGCGATTAACCCAGTCCGGTGTAGGAGTCATATCTTGAGTATCTGCCGTGACCCAGGGCAAGAAGCCTCCGAAACCTGGGTAAGTCTCGTTGAATCTGAGATAAGTCTCCAACTTTTTCTGCATGATAGATGCGGCGATTTTGGGGGCCTCTGCAGTGTTCTCAGGCGAGAGGAACCGAGCAGCTTCTGGGGAGCCCGCAATGGCATGGGTATACAGCATGATTTGAAGGGACTGTTTTGAAAGATAAATGAGGGCTGCCAATCAATGGGGAAAACGAACACAAACCTCTTTGCTAGCAGCACTGAACGTGTGCTTGACTGTTGCCTCCCCGGTCACCCAGTCAATGTTAGTGCCGTCGTAGGAAATACCATTGTTGCTGTTGTATGAGATGTTGTTCTGATGGAACTTGCCCTCCCAATATAGCATGTCATTGAGGAAGGCAGTAGGATTTTGGAGGATTTGCTTTTGAGAATAGTCATGTGCGAAACGACATGAGGGCTCATTATTATGTCCGGATATCGATGGTAGACCCTTGACGAGTGTGGTCCATGTTAGGACATGACCGAATTTCTCGTGGAGACGCATGTTAGGATTGCTTAACAAGAAGAATTGAAGAGCTAGACTGTTTAGACATTAAGAAACGGGATATCTCGACTCATATAAATACCATGTGTCTCTAATTTGAAGCGGGAATTGCACATTTGCCCGAACTCCCATGTCCACGAATTATATCACATCAAGAGCTCTCTCTGGGGTCCCCGCATTTCGAGAAGCTTTCTCCTGAAAAATGATGGTGAAATCTGGTGATGGGCTGAAGACGCATGCCAATGCCAGATTGCCCATTTAGCTCGTGATTATGCGAATCTGTCTCCGCTATAGGTTGAGATCTTCAACCGGGATCCTCACTGGGGGTCAATTAGCCGAAGGGAACGAAGAATCGGAGAATTACAGATTGCGCGGGGAATCTCAGAATGGTCCCCACTTACTTGATCAGACACAAGGTAGGTAGTTCCTAAGCGAAGCATGTTTTAGAGATTCTTTCATTCGTAATTATACTATCTAATTTAGTCACTTGATATGCACCTTGACACATATAACCATGAAGCTTTTTCATAGCAAGCGTCGCAAGGTGTCCGACGCTTTCGAGTCTAAGCGGGTCAGTATATCAAGGAGCACCGACAGATCGTTACGCGCTCGGGTCGACAGAGGGGATGTTTCGTGCTGATCGATAATCTCGAGGAGGCAAGCTCCTATGAGTCTAATCTTTTCTACCTAGACGATCATCAGAACCTGTTATTTGGCAGAGAGGACAGAAAAAAGGGGATGACTTATGACTTACACATGGTTCCCCGTTGATCTGCAACGCCCAGAAAGGGGCATCGCGAATGACTCGCAGAAGGTCTCGTGCAATGTCAGTTTTCCGTAGTAGCAGCATTTCATTTGGCGCCGGAGGATAGTAATTAAGCTCTTCAAATTTCTGTGTGATAACCATCTTCAGACAGTGCAACGAGACGTAGACGTTGGCTGCTTGAATGATATGCAGTCTCGTGAGTCTAGATAGGCCTTGGTTGTTTTTATTGGCGTTTGACATGAGCTGATCATATTGTAAAAAGGAGGGTAAGTCATCGAGGGACGTTGCAAAAAGCACGTAAAGATGATCAAGCCTGTGACTTTCTTCTGCCGTGGGGGGTTGATGAGGAAGTAAATTCCCATTTTTGCGACTATCCAACTCTCGCATCTCTAAAAGCAAATCGGATGCACTTTGCCAGAGCCGAATGTTTGCATTGAATCCTGCAATAAAACTATTTTGAGTATTCTCGGCATCTGGAACAGCACTGCCAGGTGTCAGGATTGTCTCATCTTCGATGCCTGTTGGATAGCCGATGGTGATGCCGGAGTTGAATGAATATTTGTGGATAGTGATCGGTCGATTGTTCAGAATGGCTGCCGATTTATCGCCAATATAGGCAATCCAGAATGCCCGTCGGCGAAACTCCACTTCGAGGGAATTGAGCCCCTGCAGTGAATCTTCTTCGTGCATTTGCATTACTTGGGCCAATCGGGTAGCTTCCCCAAAGATGTGCCATGACAGTCGTGGCTTGCCGGCCGCATGCATGCAGTTGGAGTGGAAATATCGGATGGCAACCGAGTTGGCATTTGGGTATTCAAGATCAGCTTCCAGATATGTAGCCAGGCAATTTCTGGAGGCTTGTAGAAATATGTCTGCGATTCCCTCTCCCTCAGGAAAAATGTCTTTCGGAAGGAGAAAGGCCGCTTCTGCGCAGACAGCAGTGATCAAAGTGAAAGAAAGATCCGGCCACAGCTCTGGATATTTGAGACTATTCACTCCATATATGAGGCCGGCAGCTCTCGAATCCCTTCCTTGGTTGACGAAGAAACCCAACCCGTCCCGGAGACTGGGTTCATGAACAAGTGGAGTCAAGGGGTATAGATATTCAAAGAACAGCTCGAAGCAATGGTTGATAGTACGCTCTAGATGTGCTGGTGACTCCCGCACGGAAATCATCCGCTCCAAAGCATGCCATCGTTGTAACGCCGAGGTGATTCTTGTTGAGGCGACATCGGAAATAGACGATTGGACTGTATGCACGGTCTCAGGGGATAAAGCAGGATCAAGTACCGAGAGATTGGTGTCCCATGCATCAAGTGGAACTGCAACCGGCGCGGTCGAACTGATATTTTGAGTTACAGAGCCATGTTCTGGTACCTGTAACGCTGTTGCCAGGGGACTGTGCAGAACATTTGGATAGGCCACATCATGCGACCTTAATCGCTTAGATTTAGGCCCGCGTCTGGCGATCGGCACGTCAAATGTGCATTGCATCCGAGCCAGGCGGCAGTTGGTGCATATCAACGATTCGCCCGAGTAGTCACACTATGGTAATTTAGTTTAGACCGGGTAAGACTGGATTGTCGCCTCATACCTTTGCTTTTCTCCGACGGCACCGATCGCACGCCCTAGCTGATGACCGCGAACGAGATTCAGGGCTAGCCATCACATCTTCTATCTCGGGAAAACTCGTCGGAGGTTAGCAGTTGGGAAGTTTGGGAACGGGGGGATGAGCCTCGGTCAAATACTCCCATTTCTCCGAATCCCCAGATTGTCTTGGCTTGGGGTATTTCCGAAGCTTGATTAATTAATTTAAATTAACACGGGGGCGAATGTATTCCTATTACGTTTTTGAGGGTAGAGCTACAATGCAGAACCTTGATGTAGATTTCTAGGCGTCATGTCTAAGAATGATGTTCGTCTAATCTCATGGCAGTTGTTCACAGTGCCCTAGACTCATAAGAAGTGGTCTAATTGCTCTACTGGGACCCAGAAGCATTACTGATGCGCTCATCAAACATGCCTTTCAGCAACAATGCGGATTTCTTCGGCGTTCTTTCCAGGGTGTTATAATCAGTGAAGGTAACGCCGAAGCGAACCCCGTATCCATCGGACCATTCTGGGAGAAGAATTAGCTCAAAAATCTTGAAGTATGAAGCAAGACACATACCCAAGTTGTCCATCAATGACCACGCAAAATAACCTTTAATATCAGAGCCATCGTCTGTGCGTGCTGTTCCGACCGCATCGAGGTGATCTCTGAAGTATTGGATTCGGTAGGTATCGTTGACAGCCTCTTCGCATGTCATCTTTTCCTCGCCAGGGCACGGGCATCCATTCTCGGTAATATAGATAGGCTTGCCATATGCACGATATACTCGTGTCAAGTGCTTCCGGAAGAGGCTCGGGCTTGACCGGAGCCAATGCACACCACTTTTCTCTCCGACTGATACACCTTGCTTGTTTTCTTGCAGTTCATCCACATTCCCTATGAAATCAGTCTCAAGCGCAGCCTCGTCACAATGCCGGGCAAACTGGGAGGTGTAATAGTTCATTCCGTAGAAATCCATGTCAGCCTCCCTAAGCAGAGCAAAGTCCGACTCCGTGAAGCCAGGGAGTCTATCGCCGAGTTGCGCTCTCATGCATTCAGGGTAGTCTTGTGCGAGACTGTCAAATGTGTCAGTTGTCTTCTTTTGGTATTGTCTGAAGCTCAGCAAAAGCGTACCAAACGGGGTTCGCGAACCATCCAATGTGGAACTGCATCCGGCGCTCAGCAGCTTGCTGGTCGCGCTCGTCCTGACTATCCCAGGGTTCATAGTAATCTCCGTTCAGAGAGATTCCAATTTTGCCTTGCTGAGATGTTCGGAAGTTCCGGTTATACAAAGCGACAGCGCGAGCGTGGCTCATGATCAAGGCTTTTCCCACAATCCATGGCTCCGTAGTAGTATTGCCCTCTGTGGACTGTGGATTGATACTGCTTCGCCCGGGCGCATTTCCGCCAGTGGCGTATCCCTAGATAATGTGTCAGTTGCCTGTTTGAAATTGAAGAGAAAGGAAGAAATGACAAGGGACTTTGAGGAACATACAAAGATAGAAACAATCCACGGCTCATTCAGTGTGATCCAATTCTTGACTCGATCACCAAATCTCTCATAGCAAATCTGTGCATACCGCTCAAAGTCAAGTTGTGACTCTTGCACATTTAACCAACCTCCGTATCGATCATGAATGGCCTGAGGAAGGTCCCAATGATAAAGAGTGACCCATGGCGTAATTCCCCTGGCAAGCAGAGAATCAATGAGTTTGTTATAAAACGCGACGCCAGATTCGCTGACTGGGTCATTTCTTCCTCCCAGCGGAATGATTCGAGACCATGAAATTGAGAATCGGTATGCCTTTGCGCCGTACTTGGAGAGAAGGTCGAAATCCTCCTCAAATCGGTGGTAGTGGTCGCAAGCGATGTCTCCATTGGCCCCCTTGGTCCTTGTAGGCTCAAGATGGCAGAAGGTATCCCAGATTGATTTTCCTCGCCCATCTTCATTCACAGCACCTTCGATTTGATATGAGGCCGTTGCAAATCCCCATTCAAAATCGGGAGGCAAGAATCCTGACATACTGGCAAGGTCGAAGACAGAACCACAGAAACAATGTGAAGTGCTTTGAAAGAGAACAAGGCGACAGAGCCCTGTATGCAGCAGAACTCAAAAGCTATATTCCTTATAGCCGGGGAATTGTGGCGTTGGAGTGGAGAGGGATATCCCGTCGAAGGATAAACGGCAAATTGGCATTTCGCCGATTCCCCGAATCTCCAGACCTCCCTTCACATTTTTCCCCACGGGGCAATTCCCCGCAGAAATGCAAAATTATGATTTCTCTCAACACATGAAGACCTTTAGGGCTGTCGGAATGCATCGAGTTCGTTGTATCCACCCAGCTGTCTCTTCTATAAGAAGTGCAAGGAAGCCTTCGGGCTAAGACTACCGATCTTTCGACTACAGGCAAGCTCACTTCCTTTGTCTTTGGTCTCAGTTGAAGTCTGCAATCATGGCTCCTGCTGCTGCTCATGCCGCCGAGGGCATTATCTCGTCCATTGACGTGAACTCTATGCCGCCTTTTTGGCGACGGAAGAATGGCATTTTGCTATACTTTCTGCTCACTTCGTCCCTACTCGCAAGTGCGGCTCTCGGCATTGATGGAGTGAGTTTCAATTTTTCAAGACTGGAGCGCCTTTTAC